ACTTCCATGTTTGTCCACAATCGCACCACGTACAGTGGATTTCTGAGAGCTGCGTAAGTATATTGTGTAAATTGCAGCAGTTGTCAAACACGAATTAAGAGCAAGAGAAATGAAAACTGACACAGTCCGCATCACACCCATGACTCCGGCGAGCGAAGAAGGAATAATGGCACAGATGGATACACTGCAGGCTTGACAGTGTAACCTACATCACCCTTGAGATCAATGATTTAAACGCTTTTCACTGGAACTAAATAATCCCAAGCTTCTTGGCGAACGAAGTATCATTGGTTCACAATTATTGACGCAATATTATTAGCATTCGACTGAATCTTTGCGTGAACTATTTTCTTCATCGTTACTGGAAATGGGCCGTGCCACTTTTCGTCTGCTGTGTGGACTGACTTCTGTGTTCAGAAAACGTTTCCCAAAATTTTCACCCCTGGACTGGCTCCCTTCCACATTCTTTACTGCGTGCAATTTTTGCAAACTTGCAAGCAGCTGCAGAGCAGTCAGGCGAGTTTTTTGGGACAATGGAACTCTAATTCTCCCTGCGGGCCCAGACATCTGCAGGTGTATGACATTTGAGACAGCTATTCGGTGAAGCTGCAGTCACTGCATCGCGTACGCTGGCTACCAAGAGGCGTTCAAGCCGGATTTCCATTTTATTTATTAAGAATTTATATCATTAACAATAAGATTCAATCAACAAATCATCAATCAATTATTTATTTAATGTATTCAGAAACAATCATATGGTCTTTTGTGATAGCGCACGCAAGAATAAAAGAATAATAAAAAACAGTTCATTATAAACTGTCTACAAAAAAGCAAATCAATAAAAAGTGGGATAAAACGCGCAGGCAAAAAGAAATCAAAGCAAACTGGGAACAAAATATAGAAGAGAAGATTTTTCATGAAAGTGGAGTGAAAAATATTGCGGAATATACACAACTGTGTGGAAGGCTTCCTGAAAGACGGAAAACGGAAGAGTCTGTACATGTGCAAATCTATGTTAGGACAGGGCAAGCTTCATTGATAAAATAAAATGACTGTGGACTATGACAAACATAAGGGATCAAGAACGTTAACGTTAGAGAGACTCGGTATTCTGTGAAGTTTAGTTTGAAGAATCTGGCAGGTACGTGCAACTGTCGATTCTCTCTGGATATCCTTACGCGGAATTGGAAAATTATTACAAGGGAGAAGAGCAGAATATCTTACCCTGAACGAGCTTGTAAAAAAATAACAGCTCAGCGCGGTTTCGTCAGGCCGTTAAGTGATGGGAAGACAATATTCTAGCAGTGTTGAAAAGTGTAGTGAAACGATGGGTGTAATGCTTGTGATTTTTTCTGGACTCGTTCAGTGGTGTTACTGCTGAACCTTGCCAGGCCATTTCCAGATCAAATGTGCATATATACTCAAGTTGAGAAAGACATATTGCGGTGTGCAATTTCTAGAAGGCTATAGGAGAACTAAATTCTCTAGAGATATTATGTCAACAGAGAGAGAACCAACGCCTCAAATGGCAGCGCTTTTACTGCGAGTAGAAAAAAATTAGCATGCTATCAAAAAGAACACCAAGATTACTGATCTTATAAACCTTATATAACGACACAGTATTGACAGAGTATGGAATGGAAACGTTAGACGTTTTGCGAGACACAACAACAACAACAATAATATTAATACTAATATTATCATTACTATATTATTATTATTATTATTATTATTATTATTATTATTATTATTATTATTATTACTACTACTACTACTACTACTACACTCATATCCTCACATGGCCGAATATATCTGGCCACATTGAAGCAAATGCTAGTGTCCGGGTGTGCATCCACCTCAATACGCGAGTGTGTGATTGTACATTTTCGAGAGTACATGTACCGGCATACATATTTATAGGTAAATGCACCCCAGTGTTAGTGTAGAAAATATATGTTCGCAAGCAGTTCTAATTATTCCACAGCTGCACCGCGAAGGGCTGTTTACGTAATATAAAGTTTGGCTTAAGCAGCATACCAGCCCTTATTCGCAAAAATAGGTCATCTAATTTTATTCGAAAGGTGCAAATTCTGAAGAGCCACGTGCGACTTGGACAAAATATTGACACACCCCCACAAAATAGAAGTTTTATGAATTTCGCAGCCTACACTGAAGTTTGCAATAAAGGTTCAGTGTTTCAGTACATGGTCCAATAAATGTGTATTATGTATCCGGTTTGCAAACACTACACCCAATAAATTATTCACCAGTGCACTCATAAAATTTTTCATAAACTTACTATCTTCACAGCCAAGAACATTACCCGTAGTCAAATAAAATGCAAGAGGCATTTTTGTAATAATTTAGTGCACTTCCAACTTGAATTTAAGATATAAATGCCTGCGAGTTGCATTCCATACCGTTTTTTTTTTATTCTTGAAGATACTTCATTTAACATCACACTGCGCATAATATTATGGTAAATGGCAGCTGAAAGCAATCACAGATAAGGTAAACAAGATCAACTGAAATCTTGGTAAATGAGGGGAGCATATAGCCATCAAAACCTTCCAATAATTAGCAATTTTCTCCACTGATGTGCTGGATAAAAATGAAATGATATTACCATTTCTTGCTGCCACTTCCAACAATGGAATAAAGTAAACTATATAAGTTGCATGCTTGTCGTTATTACATAATACTATACAGGATTGCTTGATCAGAATAGCGAGGTTCAGGAGCTTTAATACGTTTTGTGACCTGACATGATTCCTTCCTTGTAAAGATGTCTTCTCTCGTATACAATATTTACATCGTATGAATTGCAACGTACTGTTACAAACCTGAATTCCATGAAAAGCTTAACTACACGAATTCAAGAATAGAGACAATTATCACGTACACAAAGCTGACATAACTTTTTGTTTGTTTATTAGCACTGCAAAAAACAGTGTGTACTCAATACTCTTGTTGTTGTAAAAAATAGGCAGGTCGCCTCTGTGAACGGATTGTTATATACGACAATCCGCATAAAATTTTGTGATCGTGGTACTATATATACCTGGTTCTTATATATACCTATATATACCTGGTATATATATACCTGGTTCGTCCCATATAACGGAGCACTTTCACATATTAGTATCTACTTCGTATGTTATATAGGTGTGGCCGCGCCTTATAAGGCCGGATTCGGCTCCTTATATAAACCTACTACGGCATATATGGCTGTATATAACACCATATATGAATCGATTCCACCAGATATACATCGTATATGGTAAATGGAAGCCCCATATGCTGACATATATGCTTATATGTGGCCAGATATAACCCATATATGTACCTTATGTGACATTTCTGTAAGGCATATGGCCACAGATTCCATCCGTTGCAATTTAGCAATGCTAGTGATAGCTGCAAAAGTTTGGCAGATTTGCCAGGTGTATTCTTCTCAGATATATCTGTTACGATTTTACGTGAAAGTGGCCTGCCAGGAAAACAGGCTTGCCAGGTCTTCTCCCAGGCAGAGGTCGATAATTAGGCAGAAAAATGTGGCAGATAAGCTCTACAGGTGTGATTACAAATTAAACATGTGGAACTGCTGTGCTCTCTTTACCTTTCTTCACCCTGACTTTACTTTCTCTCCCATAGTTATAACACGCCATATACATCTATGATTTATTTCTTCCTTTTCGTACCTATTCTTCCCTTCCTAACCCACATCTCGCGTTACCGTCCCTTGTACGCTATACTATATTTGGCTATGCTATTTTCCTTTTTCTCTCTCTTGAACTTCCCTTTTTTTCTCGATCTTGCTGTTTAATCGTCATACTTGCTTTGGTTGTCACATTTTCTGGTTCTCTTTCTGCCATGCTTTTTATTTATTATGAGTTTTTATCTTTTTGCCTCGTTTATCTGTACTGATTCTCTGGCCCATATGAGCTCATTTTACGCCAGACAATTCACAGCCTTCGCACCCACACTTCCGTTTCTCACTCCCTGCTATGTTATACTCTACCCGAATTTTCTACCCGACTATGTTATGCTCTGATGGCATGTTTAGATAGCCTTGGGGCTACGACGCTCCTCTCAAAATTTCAGTTCGTGAGTTTGAATATTCCCTCACCAACAGGTCTTGTTCTTCAATCTTTGTTTTTTATCTTGACCTCACCTATTCAGTTTATTGCCTTCGACGCCTAAAAATTCCGGTTCATGATGACCATAGTTTCTGTGGGCGACTAACAGAAATTCTGCGAAATTCGACAAATTCACTGCTAAAGAGGAATTCCTTTGCCTATTCAGAAAAAAAATGAGAAAGAGAGCCTTGGCGTGTGTGCACCTGACTTGTTATATCTTTTTGTATCGTTTTTATATCGCGTATAGTGCGATTCTCTCTCCTATCGCTTTTGAATATATTTCCGGATGCCGGGAACGTGACCTTCTTCCATATCCTTCACAGCAAGACGCTTCTACTGCCAAAGACGATAGCGATGGCATTAACGAACGTGCAGGCGCAAAACACCAATAAAGCCTTAGAAACCTGAACCGACAAGTGGGCTAATTAAAAGAGCAAGTTGCCATATCAATCACGAGTTATCACCGAAAAGTACGCAGTTAAGATGCATTGATTGGGGGGGAAACATGGTATAAAGAAACGCGTGTGTCCGCCACACCTCCCGTGGCCGACTTATGTATACATGCACATTTCTCTCCACACACCAGCACGGTTTTTTTTAGTGAGCGATGCCTCGGACATTGAAATCATCGCTGTTTTTTTCTTGAAATCTTTGCGTAAAAGTTCACACCTACAATTGATGTTCACACACAACGCCTCAACCTTTAGTTCTATATATATATATATATATATATATATATATATATATATATATATATATATATATGATATGACCTCCAAAGTTAAAGGCTGTTTTTTTTTCAGGAGGCGAAAGGATATCAGCTTTACAAAGTAGGAAACTTATGCTTGAATGAATGCTTACCCGATAAATACGAGCACGACATCGGCTACTAAGTTAATATTTGTAATATAGGTGTAATAAGCAGCTTCTGATGACACCTTAGTGGAGACGAGGTCACTTCCGTCTACGGGTATCCTGTAAGGATCCATGCGCTGCATGTGCATTAGGTCATGTATTATGTTTTTGAATATGGCAACTTTGCGACTATACTTACCGCATCTGTAGCATGAAATCCCGTGATGACGAGTGAACCAGGGCGTGGAAGCTGTTTTAATATAAAGTTAAGCTGGTAAAAAAAGAAGGCATGTCATTAGAGTTGTCAATTTTTTGCAAAGACGTGCACTGTCTTTTAACTTAGTCATGCAAACAGGAGTCACTCAAGTTATTGCCACGTCTTCAGTATTTTGAGCCATTCACTTCATTACTTTTAGATAATAAGGTGTGATCTCAGGTGTCAAAATATGAGTTTTCAAATCTATTGAACCTCAAGACGGCTAAAACAAATAAGACATCTGAAAGAGAAGAGCAGCATTGTTTCACTACTGCTGAAGCCGATTTCTGTAGAGCACCCGGTGCAAAAACAGCTGACTAACCACACTTCGATGAGCTGAGCCACCTGGCTGCATAATTACAGAGGCCTATTCTTCTTCTGAACTTTGAACGAACCTTTAGGGCAGAAATGATGTTGTAACAATAAGAAGTTTGGGTGCACACTACAGGATTTTCTTTTATAGGGGCGAAGCTTCTTATGTTGTGGGTTGTTCCCTCGTCTGTAGTAGTAGTGGTATGTATCCACCCCCAGTTTAATGAATTGCTAAATGGTAGGGGTTGTGTTTATATGTCCTTGGAAATATTCTCACTAGATTACATTAGGGGTTTTCGTATAGTTGACAGATGGGTGGACAGAAGACAGACAGTCCGACAGACTGAGAGACAAACAGAAAGTCCGACAGACTGAGAGACAGACAGAAAGTACGACCAACAGACAGACAGACAGACAGACAGACAGACAGACAGACAGACAGACAGACAGACAGACAGACAGACAGGCAGGCAGGCAGGCAGGCAGGCAGACAGGCAGGCAGGCAGGCAGGCAGGCAGGCAGGCAGGCAGGCAGGCAGGCAGGCTGGCAGGCCGGCAGCCTCTCCACCCGCGGGAATGCTGCGAATATTTTCCCTTACTTTTTGGGTGCATCTTTGAATGCTACGTCTTCAAGATTACTATAAGAGCTCTGGTGAATGCACTCTCCTGTGGCACCACTTATTAGGCCACCAACACAGCTACGTTCTTGAAATTATCAAGGAAGCAATACCGCTAGCACATACCTAAAATGATGAGAGACCAGTCGACAGAAAGCATAACCATCATTGAATGTACCACTTTCAACTCATGTAATCTTTCTTGTGTACACGAGATGTGTTTAAAAAGATTCTATAGGTTGGTTCGCAGAAAGAGACAAAAGGATGAAAATTTTCGGATTTGGTAACGTCAGAGACTCGTCAATCAGGTTGTGGGAACGCCCAGCAGAATCCGTCGGCGTCCATGCCCCACAAAGGCCATGGGCAGCAGCATTCGGGCTGCACTCAGTCAGTTTGCTCCAGCCAGTTTGCTCTAGCGGAGAACCGGTCAAGTCAATATCTATCTCATCTTCGCGAAGATTACTTCGTGAGCGTGCTGCTGCATCACAACGTCGTCTTGCTCTTAAGTCGAATGTATAGATTTTTCGTTACTGCAGCACAATCAATACAGCCACTCGTGCTTCTCCGTCTGGGCTTCGGTAGATCAGAGCAGCTCTTATGGCTGCCCAAGACTATCGCACCGTCAGGAAGGTGGACATCTATGAGTAACAGAATAGCCAACATGACACCACCTTTCCCATGAACGTCATCCAAACCCAAACCCTGTGGCGTCTAGGCTGCGACTTGCAAAGAGCACCAACTATGGCCCGCACCAAGAATGACGAGCGCACCTTGTCACCGTCTCCTCCTCTTCTGCCTCGTCCCTTAGGTGGTCCTTCCATAAACTTTCGAGCATGTTCATTGTTTTCCTACGTAAACCCGTCTTAAACACGTGCACCTATGTCAATGACGCATGAAGCACCACCGACCTTCGCCTTTGAACTCTTCATTTTCAGAGTTTATGACGAGTTCATCTTCGGCGATGCTTTCTTCGTTGTCCTGAAAATGTTTGTCCCGTATCCGGTTCCTATGCGAGGGAAAACAAAGGAGTTCCCTGATGCCAGAACAGATGAATGAGAAAGGCGGGCCCAGTTTTGGGATTCGAAAGAGGCTGCATGCGTCACCGTTATGTGTGGTGAGTGAGCCGGACCTCCTTGACTGGTGTTGTCAGCTTTGTTTCGGAAGCCAATTCTTCGTTATAGGGATACAAAATATTGCAATCTGTTCCAGTCATTAAAGTAATAATGATGTCGGTCACCCACACTGAAGCTAATGTCACGCGAGAATTGTGACCCTTGCCGGTATAATTATTCAGATACATAGTGATCTTTTTTTCTGTCACATTTGCCTCCTAAATAGTGTAACTAGCCGTCAATTTCTTGCATTAATTCAAGACAGTGCCAAATAGATTCCTTAACACGAAAATTAGTCAATAACCTGTTCTCTAAAAAAAGTGGCCTTCAGTGTTAACGTTCAGAAGAGTTACTCATGAAAACTGCTGCAGTCATAGGCATTGTATACTTGCCTGCCTAGATAACTGAAGCAGATACATCTGCACTGTGTTTCCTGCTTCTTTTATGTGCCTATTTAATACGCTGTCGACAATGACGTATGCCTCAATTGTGAAACCAACTTGCGGTTGCGTGCACTCTGTAAATGCAAAAAAAGATTAGCGTTACTGAATCTGAACGAAACGTGATTGCAATAATTAATAATTTCAACCACATTCTCAACCGCGGCATTGTAATTGTTTTTCAGACGTTAGCACTAACCCCGCAGACCCATACCCATTCGTCTCCTCAAAACTATCTGCTGTTTTATTCATACGTTGAATGCCCACTTAGCAAGTATATTCATATTTTCGAAACCGTAATTATATAAACTATTTCATGGGAGATGCATATTATGTGTGTCAGCACTTTTTTCACATCATGTTTTGTAAACGGAGCTGAATACCAATACCATGGTATTTACCTTTCTCGCAAATATATTTTAAGAACTGGAGATGTAGTATGATTGGTCAACAGGAACATGAAGCGCTATTTTGTCAACACCATTTTATTATCAGAATAATGTCGCACAAGGTTGGCGAAGTTGAAATCTAATCGAGAGAACGAATATCGAGGTTCGAGGCTTTTTATTGTAGTTCGGCTCATAGTTTCAGGTTACAACGAATTTAGGTTATGTTTATTTATCCCATGTTCCTTGGCGTTTTGTCTGATGATCCTATGTTGACTGCACAATTCTAGAATTAACGTGTGTCAGACCTGAAAAGTTGCGGTCACTCACTTTTCTTTCCCTAACCGCTCGATTTTGGAAAACATAATGAATACAATCTATTTTTGCAACAATATTCTGATTGCTACAAATACAATAACGTTCCAAGATTTATATTATGAAAACCTTCCAAGTATCCGTTACCTATTGGTAATTAAAATATGATGTTTAAGCGAAGCTTCCTATTACGAATGTTCTGTAACGAAGAGGTCCACTGATGCAGCCACAACGACTGTTTTGTGTGAGGCATGAGCTAGAGCTGCCTTGTTTGACGCTGCTGCAACGCTTGTTGCTATTGTTTTGATGTCACTGCGTCTTTTTGCCTCGCGTTCCGAATATTTTTAGGACGGACGTTGCTGAGGTTTTCCCAGCCATCAAATTGCGTAGAAAAAGTAACCGTTTGTCATGCCTCACGACGCTGTCTCAACACCCTCACCAGCTTCACCACTCATGTGTCCCAGTGCCCAGAATCTGCAGGAGTCCGAGATTTTCAGTGATACCGACAAGAAATACTTGAAAAATTGGCTGAAAATCTATGCAAAAGTGAGCTCTACCAACATATAGGACGACGCCATGAAGCACAGTACCGTGATGTTCATTTTAACGGATGTCGACAAGCTGTTGTACAAAAACTCGCAGCATATCCAAGAGGTGAATGATGGCCAGTTGGGTGAAGCGGACGGACTCATGAATGGACGGACGAACGAGCAGGTGGACGCATGGACGGATACATGAATGAACGGCTGCACGAACGCCCGAACTGACGGACATACAGAAGGATGCACGAATGAACGGACTGATGCAGGCTTCGCCGCCCTCATCATCAATCACTCGGTATATATGCTGTGACACCATTTTTATTTACATGCAATGCAATGCAGCTCACTTATACGATCACTGTGAGGACATGGTACATACGATTAACGGCTTAAGATGCTTCAATCTTAAAACCATTAGGCCGATATCCCCACTTAGGCCACTTTCGAAACGGGCATGGCAGCTGTTTTCAAATTCCCTGGTTTGCGCATACGTGGAGCAGAACAACGACTATGAAGCCACTTCCAAGAAAGTAGTGAGACATTGACAAGATACATCGAGGCAATGCTCGACCTCAGCCGGCGTGTTACGGCGACGATGGCGGAACCTGAGAAGGTACGCAGTATCATGAAGGGCATTTTCCGATGACGCCTTTCGAATGCTGCTCTCGAAGTTTTTAAACTTCTCCTGCCATGCCAGAGTTTCGATGAGCTCCGAATAGAACGTCTCTTCACGCGGCGCCCTAACGTTTAGGGCGACACCATCACGAGCCTGACTACCTCCCCCGACCTTCAGTCACTGCTATCTCAGATGAAGGACAGGTTATCTGTGCGGAGGTCACTCACCATCTTTCGCTGTTGTTAACAGTTGGCCAAGAACCGTCGCCTCTGCCAGCTAACATTCGCCAGGTCACCCGAGAGCAAGTCTGCAAGCACGGCTCTGTCATCTGTCCGCGGCACTTCGCGGTTGCTGACTCCTGCTGCCTGCGCAGAGGTAAATGTGCCATGAAGCTATGCTCCAATTGCTGCACGGCCACCTCCTCATACCTTTGTATCGCAACCATCAATGTGACTCGCTCTCGGTTTGATTAGTCAATGTATCTCGAGAATAGAAAAGAATGCCCGCTTCCGAAAACCATCCAGTATGTTCTGCCTGTCACCTGCCCCTCTATGTTGCGCAATTTTGCCTGTCGCGAGACCCTTTCTACCACCAGAGGTACCTTCAAATCTTCGAAATTGGCTCTTATGTCTCATCAGTATCTCAGAAGCCAGATATCATCGTACACTGACACCACCCTCCTGCTAACCACGGCTCATCATCACTCGTGCGTCATTAATATTCTTGGCCATGCAGGAAAACTAATTACTAAGTTCCAGAGCCAGGAACTGCGTCGTATGTGAAAGGAACAAGGCTTCTCTATCCCCCAAGGAATATTCCTGATGGATATGTCGGCAGCCTCACTGCATTCCCCTTTTCGGCACGGGTGCTGCTCTTTCAGTTATCAATGCAAAACTGGGCCACTTGCTACGAAAGTTAGGAAGCTACCACTGAGCACGTTGCTTCATACAGAAAACGCAGAGTGCGTGACACCGGCCGCTGCCTGTACTAATATCGTTCTCATTGACGGCCTCCTTTACATCGTCGAACTGCTAGTTTTGAATCCCTGCTCTCACGACCTAATTCCTAGTTGGGTCTTTGTCTCCGCTAATAAGGCTGTCATCAACTTTACTAGCGCTCAGAAGGCATTCGAAGTACTTTGCGACGCCCCGTTCTTTGACGCTCTTGAAACCGGGGATAAATATTTATAACGGCTGACGTTATCATACCATCACACTCCTTTGCCCTCTCCTCCGAAACTTGCAATGCTTGTGCTGAAAGGAACGCTCTTGTTATGTCATTTGCCGTTTTTATTCATCGCAAGTCTTCACCATTGCCTTACACACTTTCGGAAAATCATGACAGCACCAGCAGACTTCTCGTCTCGAACTAGTTGTGATATCCTGTTACACTGCTTTGTGGAGAGTGGCTCGACCACGTTTACATTCATTACCCTTTTACAACCATCGATATGCTGGCTGGTCTGTCGACGGAAAACGAAGTCGCCGGAGTTACGTGTGCCTTTCCGCCACAGACTACTATGCATGCAGTACAGAGCAGCTTCATAATCTACACATTAGCTGTGTCGCAATGCACCTAGCTTCAATGGCTCCTGCACAGGTTCCGTTTCTTATTTGACGGTCAGCATTCTTCCCTTCGCCACACGCTAGCTGTACGTCAGAGCATTGACACGGGTACCAATGCGCCACTGCAACAAAGACGTTGCCGTGTGTCCGCGACAGGGCACAAGATTTTCGACGACCAAGTTGCTGACATACCCAAGCGTAGCGTCATCCAGCCTTCGAATGGCACCTGGGCATCTCCAGTCGTTCTCGCCAAAATAATTACTGCTCCTCGCATTTCTGTTTATCACCGTCATCTTAACAAATTAACTGAAAAGACGTAACCTTTCACCAAGATTTGACAATGCCCTTCATTGCCTCAAGCGCGGAACTTATCTCTTTTATCAATTTACGAAGCGGCTATTGGCAAGTCACCGTGGCACCTTAAATGCCAACCTAAAACGACCTTCATCACACCTAAGCTCCTTACGAATTGCGTGTCATACCTTTTGGTTTTTGCAACATTCGCTCAACATTCGAGTGAATGATCAACAATGTATAGCATGGTCTGAAGTAGAAAATGTGCATGTGCTACTTAGTTGGCATGGTTATATTTTTACCAGACTTTCCCATGCATCTCTGCAGGCTAGCGGAAACACTGCAGTACCTAACTGATGCTGGCCTTCAGCTGAACTGGAATAAATTCTGCTTCGGCGCAAGGCAGCTCACCATCTTCTGCCATGTCATCTTCAAAAATAGTATTCTTCCAAACGCTGCCAAGTTTCTGGCAGTTGCAGACTTTCCTCTATCTGCGTCTCTCGAAAAGATTTGGAGCCCCTGTTTGTATTTTTGCTGCTTTGTTTAGAATTAGAGATGACCACATCACTCTTGAATGAACTTCTGTGAAGTGATTCGAAAAGTCCGATCCTGCATCCAAACCCAAACTCCAATCCTGCATGACTTCTACCGTATATCACTGATTGAGTTACACACCGACACCATTGATGTTTGCCACACCATTCTCGCTTAGCGTAAATCAGAATTCCCAGAGTACGTTGTGACGTACGCAAGCTGTAGCCTTACTAAAGCAGAGAAGAATAATTCTGTGATAGACCAGAAGTGTCTTGCTATAATTTGGGCCTTAGATGCATTGAAACCTCATTAATATGGCCGCTTTTTCAACGTAGTCACAGGTCTTCATGTCTTTTGTTGGCTATTCACGTTCAAGGACCCCTCTGGCTGTTTAGCTGTCGGGCTACTGCGCATTACGGTAGTAAGATTCGTATCTGCGTGTTGTCAACATGTCTTGCCGATGTCACACCAATACCGACGCATTATCACACTTCCCTGTATCAACCCAAAGTTCGGCCGGGCTGCCTGCCATGGACGAGGTGATTTTGTTCTCAGCAGGGTGCGACAAGGCATCTCAGCAACGTGAGGTTGACTGGATCAGCGTTCTTCGGCGAATTCTTTCCAGCCCGTAGACTTCTGCTGCTTCTCGAACATTATTTTCGAGATCCGCATTGCTCTCCTCTATCGCAGCAACTACATATGATGGCCGAAAGTGGTCACTGGTCATACCTCATTATCTTCATACTAAAAGATGCTCCGCTTTGCAAGACTGACCCACAGTGCCCACAAGCGGGTGTCTTCAAATCAGACGTCCCGTTTTCACCTATATATATTATTCCATATATAATAATATTCCTATATATATTATTAAGGTGGGGTGGGGTAAAAAGCGATAAATTTTTAAAATAGTGAATATCTCCCTATCGAAAAAAACGTCCACCATAGGAATGGTGCATTGCATCATCCACCATCGTGGTAAATTATGGTGCTGAAAATATTGGTAGCATATGATGTATGCTGGCGTATGGTGGATGCTGAAGTGTCGACAATGTTGGAGCGTGAAACGGCGTCAAAACCACCATGACGAGCTGCCACTAAAGAGAAAATATGATTTTACAGATAGCATTGCAAAAAAATTAACCCGTGAAGGAAAGAAGGACACTAGCATGAGTTTTCAAACGTGTTCTTCTGCTTCCCAACATAACACACTAAACACTGCCCTTAGCTGACAAATGCAAGTTCACTGTAAAATGACTGATCAGCGTACTAAATGACCGTTCAACATCTCTTTTGTTTGACGACACTCGAGATAGACAAGATGTGCACTTGCTACTATATTATGCACATTTAATAGCTGCAAGCAATCTTGCCGGGCACCCACTACAGCAATAGTAATAATAGTAATAATAATAATAATAATAATAATAATAATAATAATAATAATAATAATAATAATATTACTGATAATAATAATAATAATAATAATGTCTAGGTAGTAGGCTGGCATTTTCTATGCTATCCTTCGTAATTCTCCTGAGAAGCGTGCTATCGAGTAAAAATTAAAGGTATTTCGTGCCAGCTGTTCATGCATTGTGTCACAACGATGAGGAATCGTACTTCAAATGGTTATGCTCATCAACTAATAGGTGATCAAGAACAATCTTTTGTAGTGGGTTGGAGCATCAGGCGACCAACTCGTTACACTATTCGCACTGCGTAACTCCTGGTTGGTCTTTCTTTGTTCTAAAACGCTTTATCACTCATATTAACGCTATTCCTTTCCCGACATCAAGCCTGTCTAAGGCAAGTTTGACAACAATTCTCAAGCACCGGTGTAGCTCAGCGGTAGAATACTGGGCTAGTACGCAATGGACCCGGCTCACAGCGTACCCGGGTTTGATATCCTTTGAACCCTTGGTATTAGGTCTCTCAGGAGCGAAGCTTTTTAAGGCGTAGGTCTGTTCATCCTCCGTCATTGTCGTACCTAGCCAGCGGGATGCGAGATGGAAGATGGCGGTACTTGGAGTGTTCACTAGATGAACGCATGAACAGACGCATGGACGGACCGACAGACAGATAAGCAGACGGACGAACGGATGGACAGACGCGTGCAGCGGGTATGTGCCACAGGAGATGCGAGATGCGAGATGACGTTACTTGGAGTGTTCACTAGATGGACACACGAATGGACAGAAAGACTTACTAGAAGATGGACAGTCACGCGGACGTATGGATGGACGGACGCGCACACGTACGGATGGATGAACGCACGGACAGATGAGCGGACGCATGAATGGTCGCGCGGACGTACGGAAGCAAGAACGAACGGATGGACGGAAGCATGGATGGGCTGACGAACGCTTAGCCCCACTCATCATTCCCTCCGCGGATATGCTTTGATTTTTCTTCTTATTTCTGTTATAGTGGTGACGGACACCGGTGACGGTGGTGGCAGCGGTGGATAACTACGGCACCGCGCGTGACCCGAGTTTTAATCTCTCAACAGCTTTCGCTGTAAAAATCAAGTGTACTGAGGAGCAGGTGCAGTTTACCGGCGGTTACTGTCAAGTTTAAATTCGTTTCTTACTCGTACCAAAGGGTGACATCTGTTCAGGCTATGTGACTCATCTAGGCTCATTTAATAGATACGCCCACACAATTAAGTGAGTATTGTGATTTCTTTTTGCGCAACGTACGTGCAGTGCAGTCGTTCGGACACGCTGCTGTAGCTCTATCATTAGCAACAACTACATAACGGCTTGTCCAAAACGATTGCAGTGCGCCGGAAACTATATGTTATCATATTGGTTCAGTTAGCATATGAATTGACAAGTCTGTGTTCTTGCATAAGAGCCAGATGAGTACCAGCAAGTGTGACCAGCTGCTCTCGATAAGCGGAGGCGTACGTTTGCTGGAAGTGCTGAAACGGCGTCGCATCGATGTTCGTCGCTTCTTGCGCGGACACCGAACACAATAAAAAATGGTTAATTCAGGCTAAACGATGCCACGGCTATGCTGTATTGTCAATCTTACTCATAGAAATTGTGTATTCGTAAACCCAGAGGTGCGGTGACACTTGTACGGGCTTGGTTGGTGTGCACAACCTTTAGTGTAAATCCTGGGGGTACAATAGAACTTTGTAAGTTGCACTCGCTGGGGCTTGTCTCGACGCATGTCGAAGTAAAGTTTATGCATTTCAGCGTCGCACACACATTGTTAACTTCAAAGTACGACTCAAGTAATTGAGTGTGCAAGAATAGCCAGAATCGCGTACCTAGCGTGGCGACATCAAGTGACTGCGTACTCTAGTCTACCGTTGAAAGCGGAAACTGCGAAAAAAGCTCATTTATTTTTCGTCAACTCTGTGGTGATGTAACTCATTTACTATCGGTGTTGAAAGCGACACTTCAAGCCTTCTAGACAATACAACAAAGCAAGACATGCGCATGTGAAACTGATGTAAGTACGTGAACGAAATGTAAATATTCACGGCCACATTCTACAGTCAAGGAAAATTGAAGCGTTTTTCACACCGCAGGAACAAAAAAGTCGTCATAGAAATTGATATCCCCGGTGTTGGTTTCTTTCCACCGTAACCATGTTTCTCTGCACATATCTGAGTAAAACACTACTCATAAGTGATTTCACATACTGTCATCTACTTTTGGATTATGTCACCATCACCAGCAGAGCTTGCATCACGCCACTGTTATTCAGCTTGGTACACTAAGCCAACCACCAAACACGTTTCACAAGGCCACCATCAGCCAGCACTGGCTCGCCAACAACAACCATCTGCCGGCACTTTTTCCAGTCGTCGTCATCAATCATTATCATCGTTAAAGCTTTCACCATGTCTACTATTAATTCCCCCATATTCAGTAATTTTTCCACCGTGTTCACAAAAAATTCCTCCATTCACCAACCCAAGAACTTAGAGAGGTGGTTAAAATATTATGAGATTCCATGGCATATTGCAGGCGGCTTCAATAAAACTTCACGCTGGCCTGCAGGAAGCTGGTCATGCTTTGTGAATTCACTTTTAGCCATCCATGTGATTTCTCTGAATAGGAGACTCACATTAAATCTGAAGCTTTCTCAAAAACCAACAAGCCAGATACGTGAAATTCGGAAAAAATAAGAAAAAGTTGGACACTTAGAACCATATTTATATATTTACCGACAATAGAGAGGCATGTCAAGAAGGCCTTCAACGAAACAAACACCAGGAAGCGTTGGTAGCCCATTCCTCTCTCTAGTAGCACGCACTATTTGAAGCACTGGGTAGAACAAGTGTGCCTGAAAACAAAAGATAAATCTGCCGTTTAATGTTTTTTTCAGCTTTGCCATCATGTGTTAGAGAATGAAAAAAAGCAAAAAGGCACGCAATCAATCCTAGCTGTAATAATATGAAATAAAATGTATTGAGGCGAACGTCACATGCTGCGAATAAATGCAAGTATCTTCGTACGATGGCTGAAGTTTGAAAGCGATTTCTCTTTAGAATCGATTGTATTCATACATTCATCCTTTTCCATCTCCTTAAAGCAGTCTTCAAACACTGTAATTTTGAAGAGTCACCGAGGTCGACTTATCTTTGACTAAAAGGTGATGTCTTACGACCAAGTCATCACGTCACTTGAGCCCAGCTGTTTTAAGATGGCGTCATATATTTTTGAAATATGTGATTAAACATCACGTCACATCATTTTTTGTAAGTAGTAATGTTCTATTAGAGAGAATAACAGCTGTGAACACCAATGTTGCACTAGAGAGGACGATATTACCTTGTATGAAATGCCGTCAAACTCTGCAACGTGCGTATTCCGTTACATGCTCACCTTTCTATTAGTATTTTCGCCTGCCTTGGTCTTCAAAGCAGACTGACAGTATTGAAATAAAGGATTATAGTGTCATTACGTCACAATGACTTTTTATTCAATCTTGTTACCCTGACGCCTACGGCGACTATACGGGTTTGATAAGTCGTCCTCTTACACACTACAACAGTTCGTATAAGAGATAGAGTAGGCCTCATTTCTACAGAACCCAAGCCAGACATATATTTGTAGCAACTTAGTTTTTAATTGCGAAGCATTTCTTAGCGAAATTTGGTGATTTGGAGCGTATCTAACTATCTAGCCGCTTACGTTTGGATGCTCTCATGGTCACCCCCTTAACGTGGCGTGAACTAAAAGTTAATATGGGAGGGTAAGATTGTTTGACGAAGGTGACGCGCTGGTGAAGACATGAATAATGTCGCAATCTCGTTGCGTACATCGTCAAACACTTCCTGCCAGACAGTGGCACATACCTAGGGCGGGTATGTGCAGCTGGTATGCGGTCATGTGCCACGGGTGATAGACACTTAGTATCTACCCAGGAACGATGACAACACAAATGGGCAATTTTAACGTAACGAGCGTCAAGAAATACCCAATCATCGGTGAGTCAACCCGACGAATGCAAAGAAACAAATGTCAGGGTCTCAGCTGGAATCGAACCTAAGCATTCTGCGTGGCAATGAAGCAATGTACCTCAGAGCTACGCCAGGTCTCAGAGCAACTTTTCAAATAGACGATAATCTTCGTGAAACGTCAATTGTAGTCGCAGTGCTGCCTACCCAACTTTATAAACATTACATATGTTGCCCTTTGATACAGCCATCACGTCAGGTTAACGTCAATTCTGGTTAGTTGCCATGCGCTGAAGTTGATTTATGTAGCAGCGTTCAGGCCCAGCGTCCTCGTGAGCATCAGCGCTTCATACCAGCTTCTGGTGTTGCTAATACGCGTGTCACAGTTGGCATCGTTGCACAAGTGCAAACAACTGGTTAAATGAACATCTGCAACTCTTTCACACGTGTCTGTGTGTGCAAAACTTGCACATATATTTGGCATCAGTTCATGACGTGTCACTCAATAAAAAATTGCGACACGGTCACCTTTCCGCATGCTTCGCATAATGTCGATTCCCTTGTATTTGGGATCTGCCGTTTTTTTTTTCTCCGGTAAAGCCAGTTCTTTTTTAGGTAAGTATTGACATCATGCAAGCATCACAAAACCACAGGAACTCATAGGTCATAAAAGAAAGCAAACAAGACGAAAGCCTAAAAAGCGATGTATTTTCTTCTAATGCGTGTTGTATCAGTACACTTTTATCAACTGTATGAGATTGTGATTGTTTTCTATATTGATATTTCTAATAGTCATATTCTACTCTTATGTAGTGCGTACTAATGCCCAGACACTATAACGTAGATAATAGCGTAACTAAGTATACATCATTAGAGTGCCGTGGCATTTCATGGTCGACTTGCAGTAATAATTTGTCAAATTTCATAGGTAATGGCGTTGGTTTTAACCTTGTGAAAGTCCTATGTGGAGTTAGCACTATGAACAAGTGAACAAAAACGTATGCCTCGTTAATCTTTTTTTTCTTCATCTTAGACGCTGGTCCAACAACCCCAGAGGTTCGAAATAAGCACCTGTCTGATTTGGTACTTGACCAGCAGCGAGTTTCATGTGGAAAAATTCATGCTTACAAAAGCGTGCTGGGGATGTCTGAAAGAGCTGTCTCACGTCTTGGGCATATCTATTCTATTTTAATTTTCAAACTCAGTCCAGATTTTATTGTAATCAAATATTAATTTTGCAAATATGGTAAACTTATTGAACTATCTAGTTAAAGAAACGTACGCTATATCACTCAAGCCTTGTGGGAAGCGATTTTCACGATGAGTACTCGGTGAACAACGGCCGATGCTGCATATTTTCGCATTGGGATGAGTGTGGCGAGGTTATCGCCGCGTTTGAAAGTGTAGAAACTTTGCACATATCATAGGCTAACCGGGATCGTCGGCTACATTGGGGTTGAAATGTTCAATAATGGCCTGACGAGAGGTAAACACTCCATATAATGCACAGATGTCAGTACTATCAAACAATGTGCGTTTTACGGTATGGTGTTGTGAATACTGTAAGTTCTATCTATTAGTGTACTACTCCAGGCACACGCAACGCTTCATCATAACTTGCTAAATTATAGGAATAACAATGTAAAGTCGCGAAAAGTGATGTAACATGAGGCTAACACTACAACTGCCATTGATGTCTACTCGACATGACACCTGTATCATACGGGTACATATGCAGTGTTTATTAAAATTCTTGCAAAACCAAATAGTCACAAATGCAGCGACAGTGGATATTCCGCTATTTTATGGCAGCCTTGGGTTCTTTCCTAAAGCATTTTCAAGACTTGGGATAGCTCTGTTGAAAAATGCCCAACTGCCAGGTAGAACACATGACTTCAGTTACTGCTGAAATACTTGTATTTATGCTTTACAGTTTTTACCTGATAGTCACCGATCTCGGTTTCCTAAATCCTGTCAATACTCTACCCATTACACGTTAGAATGTCGCATGTGGCAAGCGAAAATTGATTGACATGACATTGAACTGGCACATGTTTCTGGTGTTAAGAAAATTAGGGCACCCTAAAGCTTCGCTTTTAGTAGTTGAATGCGATAGCAACATTCTGTTCCTAGTGCACATTTCAAATTTTAGTGAGTGAAACCTTTTCGAACTTGCAATGCACCCACTATACTTCGCCTTAGGTTGAGTACTGGCTTTTAACTGTGGAACCATCATGATCATCACATATTCTGACGCCCGTTTGTAATGAACGCTTGTACCACGCATTAAAACTGCAATATTTTATGTTGCATTGTGAACCATGTATACCCTTACGAGAATCCCATATATGGACCTATATAAAAATCGCCATATATGGCTACATCAGGAATTGGGCATAGCAGGTTTTATATGAAATCCTTATATATGGGCCTTATATAACATTATAAGCTCACTTCCATATTTAGACATATATGGGCCGTATACAACATGATATATCTAGTCTCTCATATACTAATACATGGACGTTAGTGTATATGGCCATTTAATGCAATCATCTGTATAGAAAACAGATTGAAGATGGAGCTTGAAGACGAGGAAGAAGAGGGAGCCAGGGGCCCGCTTTGTATATTTTTAAATCTTGTTCTGTTCACAATAAATCGAAGACGTATCGTTTCTGCGGTATCTCTGGTCCTTCTGAGACATGGTGCCGTGACCAGGAAATCTCAGGACAGATGCAAAAACTTCGACCCCATTCGCAACAACAGATTGAAGAACGAAACAGCGGCGTCTGGCTTAAGGATGAACCGTCGAGGTAAGGACCATGACTGATGACGGTTGTCGAGGCACAGACACAGGCAAGAGCTCTTTCAACACGTTTTAAGCATGAATAAAGAGATCCTATTGAAGAAGCGGAAGACGCTTTCGAGCAATGTGAAAACGCTTACGAGCGAAATTGATAAGAAGATAGAAGAAGACGCCAATCGAGGCAACTTATGCACGCTTCTAAAGCAGATGAAGAGCGTGCCACAGACGCTAAGACAAGTTACGAACAGATTGGACTGCTCATTGAAGAAGACACGGAGGCAGAATTTGAAAGAGTTTTGCAGTATGAGATGAAGATCATCACCACAATCGACAAAAATAGAGGAAGCAATTATGCGAGTTAGAACAAACGACGCAACTGACTACGTAGAATATTCACAGAACAGGCGAGCTCAGTGCAATGTACTAATCCAAATCTCGGAGACGCAAGAGCTTGTCAAGTTGTCTCGTCTTAAGATGATCAGTTTGATAGGAAAAAATAGCATGGCCGAGGTTTTGGCATCAGCTCGAGACATCGGTGCATAACAGATTTGACATGCCGAAGAATAAAAAATTTAATTACCTTCTGGCGTCTCTGAGCGGGGAGGCTGAGTCTCCAATTGAAGGTTTGCAGTTTTCTGATCAGAATTACGAGCCTGCAGTAGCTCTTCTGAAAGAAACCTTTCGGGCGACAAGATAGTTTAGAGAGAGACCTACATAAAATAGCTAGTAAACGTGGAAGCAGTGAAGAGTCCTAAAATGTAGATGGGTTGAAAAAACTCTTCCAATAGTTGCAAGTAAACACACGAGCATCGAAGTCGTAGGAGTGGAAATGGGCAGCTACGCCACAGTGATAGCTCCTGTTGAAAATCTGTGCTACCGGTGGATATGAGGGTTGAGATGAAAATGAAGGAGATAGAGAAAAGAGACAACAGACCAGTAACTACTGAAATCGGTTTAGAGTTAAGAGACAACTCGAGCAGTTTGAAAGAAATTATGCAGTTGTTAAAGATATATATACGCAGCAGAGAAGAAACTCGAGAGGAAAAATACGACGTGACCCTGTCACCGCACAGTATG